TGATTTATATATAAAAATTATAAAGAATATAGAGTTTATGATGTTTTTAGAGTTTATAAAGATTATAAGAATTATGGTAATTATGAAAATTATAGGAATTTCCAATCGTAACAGTGCTTATCTCGAGAAATACCTCTTCTGCTCGAACAAATGACCAACCTGATTCTTGTATTGCTTCATCCTCAATCTGATCTATAATTTCATTATATTCTTTTTCTATAACAGTTCCAATTCGATCTTCTCTTATAATTTCTATTGTTTCATGCTTGAAAGGAAAAGTATGGAATAAAGGTTCTGGATTTTCTGGTTTAATTTGTTTTATATTTGCATATAACACAATTATTACCTTTAATTCACCCTTTAAAGCTAACAATCTTTTCTTCGATTGATTCAAAAAAATCTAAAGGCTCATTTTCAGCATAATATTCTTTTGGTACAAATGCATAATAATCATATACCTCACCTTCATTAAATTTTTCAGTTTCTGTTATTCTATTAATATAGGAATCATTAATTTTTTCAAAATAGACGTCAGGTTCTTCATCAGCTGTGTCATATTCTGAATCACTAGGTTCATTATCATCAAGTTTTTCCATTAAATCAAACCATTCTTCGTCTGTTTTAGGAATTGGTTTCGATCTAATTTTTTTATTATTTTTTATTTCCGGTTTTGATATCCATTTTATTATTTCATCTATTGTTAAAATTGATTTCTTTTTTTGTTCATCCTAAATATTAGAACTTGATCCAGATTAGAGATGGCACAGCAAGTACGTGACGCTTATTTGTCACCCGTTGCAACACGTTGCAACACCAAAATTTTATAAGCCGCAACTAGTTGCAACTAGGTGATGCTTTATTTGTCACCACATTGCAACAATTGCCGTGCCATCTTTAATCCAGATCCAATATCATTGATTAAAAGGTCGAGTGTCGACGTACTTGCCTCTCTCAGCTGGATTGGCTGGTGCGTCGGTGAGTTTTCATTGAACGAAATGAGGTCATCTTCGGGAATGGGTGCTGGGACTTGGTTTTGCATCAAAATTGAATTTTTAGCTGGTGTCGCATTTTGCACCGGGATTGGGTTTTCAGCTGGATTTTCTACTGGAGCTGGGACTAGGTTTTGCATTAAATGTAGAGTTCCGAAAAAAAGTCTGGTTCAGTTCGAGCTTGAACCGGACTCGAACCTAACAAAAAGTCCGGTGAGACGATGGTGCTATTCGGGTATAAGAGTTATGGAAGAGTGTTATTACTCTTCAACTTTAAGGTATTTATAAATA